AACAGCTGCGCCGTGGCAGCTGCCCCGCCCTCGTGCCCTGCGGTAGCTCCCGTGCCCCTCACAAGATGAGTACACACATTTGACATAATACGTTTAGATAGATATTGTATATTAGATATGAATAGCTAAGCTTCTCGCGATTTTCTTGTTTTTTTTAATGTCGGATGAATTTGCCAATCGTTAAATTAAATAGAACTGAAATTCTTTTATATACATTTAAAACTCAACAGTCTTTGATAATATGATAGTTATTAAAGGGAAAAGGACAAAACACTATGCTAAATTCAATAACTAAAGCACAAATATGTTCCATTTATGTATAAAGAAAGATAATTAAAACAATAATACATTACGATACTCTGTGGGAACTAATTGCCCTTTGTATTTTTTATCGTATATTATAAAAACTAAAATACATAAACCGTGAAGAAAGTGTATTTTGTATGAAAATATTTGTAAAGTTAGTTTAATATAAATTATAATACATTAACAATAGTAAAAGCGCACATTGTGGATACAAAAGTATTTACTATATTGAAACTCATAACTTCAATTATTATAAAAACTATCGCCTACTATAAATAACACATACATATTAATTAATTATTCATATAAAAATATAATTAAATATCTTTTAAAAGTATTTCTTCTAGTATTGGTTATAATTTTGTGATAAATTATATCATCACAAGAATATACTAAAAATATTCCATCACCTTGTAGAATGCTTGACTATTTTGCACACTACAGTACTGTGACGTCATTGTACTCGAAAGACATTTTTATAGTAAAAGTTATCATTTAAAAGTAATAAAAGCTGTCAAGGTCCATTAAATTTGATAATTTCTTGTTAAAATGGTCATTACCTTAGACCTAGGACGTATTAAACCTAAACCTAGGTATATCGGTTTAGGTCATCCTTCTTAATAATTCTGAATGTTCCTTAATTGACCATCAATATTTAAGTTATGGCCTTAGATATGATATTTAATTGAAATTAGACGAAAGGCCTGTTCCACAATTCTTGTAAATTGACAGATAACAATCCAACGTATGAAATATGTGATGGAAGTATCGCATTTTGGTACTCTGACAGTGACGTCTTAAGCTATCTGAGTCTATCAGCCAGTGGGACAGGCCCTAAAGCTTGAAGTGCCAAATGTATGCTTTTGTTTAGCAGCGCATAGAAATTTCCTATCAATATTAAAAACATATCACTTATTGATATATTCGCTTTTATTTATGGGCATTATATTGGCCTATTAGTCACATTCCAAAGTTAATCGTTTGTTAGTGAATGGTCTTTATGAAAAAACTAAGTAAAAACATGAATACTAATATTCTAGACGTGTGAATTACAATGAATTATTGAAATTAATCGTATATTTTTGTATTTTTATGCTTATCTGTGTGTTATGTAACTTGCCTGAAGTATATACGAGTATAGACTAATAATTTTACATAACAAAAATGAAATTAAATATAAATAGTTTAAAACATACATAACCATGATTATTTGTAATTTTACTTATTAATAATCATAATTTAAAATAGAATTCATTTTGTGTTGTAGAACCTCGATAACTCAAACCTCGGTAACTTAAAAAATAATATGTTCCCTTCCCTTCAGAGCCCAAAACCTCAATAACATATACCCTTGATAACTTAAAACCTCTATAACTTCAAAAAATAATATATTCCCTTCCCTTCAGAGCCCAAAACCTCAATTACATAGACCCTTGATAAATTAAAATCTCTATAACTTCAAAAAATAATATGCTCCCTTCCCTTCAGAGCCCAAAACCTCTATAACATAGACCCTTGATAAGTTAAAACCTCTATAACTTAAAGTATCTTGTGTTTCCCTTGGACTTTAACTTATCGAGGTTCTGTATTGCCTCTATGTTTAAATCGCTAAAATAGATTTATGTTTACTAATGTCATAAGAGATCATAATAAATTTTAATAAAATGAATTTATGAGAAATCAGCATAGCATTTATATCATCTTTATTTCAGTATCAAATAGTATTATATATTTCATCATAAAATATTAAAATGGTATTATATAATGCTGATTTAAAAATGTATGATTTTGATATATACATATTATCAGTACTAAGTTTTAACGCATTTTTGTAAATGGATTTAGTTATAAAATTCTTATTTTGTATATTAACGGCCTGTCCCATCAAATTGTAAATTGTCAGAACAATACAATGTGGTAAATATGTGATGGAAATATCAGATTTTGATCCTTAATCTGACAGTGACGTCAATTTTAAGCTATCTGAGTCTCAGCCAGTGGTGGGACAGGCTCTAAAGATTTTTATCTGATTGCCTCTTATATACGAAATTTAGTATTTGTTTTTAGAGTTTGTTAAATTGTTTATTTACATATATTTTAATGAAATAAAATAATAATTTTTAGATCTGAGATCTGTTTATAACGTGCGCAGAAAAATAATCGATTTATATATTATTTTATTAAATAATTTTGATATTGTTACGTTATAAAAGTATCTTTAAGTTAACGATCAGTGCCTCGATTTTTAATCTACAAAAATGTTCGTCTATATTACCCTAAAGTAAAAGCTCAAATTGTCTATGGGCGATGGTCTCCTTTTTTGTGACTGAATTGCCACAGTTTGCCTTGAAGAGGCATTTACAGATTCACCTCAGCCTACACCTCGTTTATAGGTAACTAAGCTCGAGGGCTCCCTCAGGGGCCTCGGCTCGGACCGTTACTTCTTTATTATAGGCCACCGAACTCTTAGATCGCTTTAGTGGACGCTCCATGGATATTAATCGACTGAAAATCGTTAACTAAACGCCCTATGTATATATCTAGATAGTTTTTGTACTAAATATATTTATATTATGTAAAACATATAAACGATTTTGTATATTGAATATTATGAATTTCTGAATAAAACGCTGCGATGTAAATTATCTTTTTATTACACTTAAGGCAGAACACTGAAACGAAAATACGTAAGTGCCTGTAATCTGACAAGATGTCAATTTTTAATGGAATTTGGAGTAAAACGTAACCTTGTAACTGTTTCAATATTCGTCATACTAATATTATAAAGAGGAAAACTTTATTTGTTTGATTGTAATGAAATAACTCAAAAACTACTGGGCCGATTTCAAAAATTCATTCACCATTATCAAGCTACGTTGTCAGTAACATAGACTACGTTTTATGTTATTTCTTAATTTCACGCGGACGGACTCGCGGGCGAAATCTAGTCTATATAACCATGTCAACATCAGGAGAAACTTTCTGAAGGTAAGCATTTGGACCATACGGTCTTTTTACTAAAGCTTCTTTGTAAATATAGTAAGGGTCAGTTTCATTGGTCGGTAAGTAATATATACCGGGTCGATTGAAATCAGTCTTCGATCCTAAAACATTGGTAACAATTTGTTCGTCATAGCAGTCGCCATGTCTAGCTTTAGTGACAGATTGGCAGCGAATTGCGAGGAATTTTCCCGGGTTGTGGAGTGCCGAGACCCAGTACATGGCAGCTCGCATGTGACTGCACAGCGTGAGGCAAGGTAATAGGAAACCGTTCACCATTGATTGCTGGTATTCACCTGGAAGCAGGAAAATAAGGTAATGATCGTTCCCGTTAGACTTCGTTGGAAGTTAAGATAAGACGCGTCGTTTGTCAATGTAATAGGGGAACACACAGTTTAGTCACATATCTATAGTAATAAAAAGAGAAAGGATTGGTATTTTTGTATGTAAACACGAAAACTACTGGATCCGTTTTAAATAATTTCCATTAGAAAGTTACATTACTACAAAGTAACAGGATTTTTTCTTAATTTCACGCAGACGAGTCATGAGCAAACGCTAGTCTTACTAGCTTACTTCTTACTATCTTATCTTATAATATCATGAATGCGAAAGTTTAGATAAATAGATGGATGTTTGTTAGAGTTCGTAGCTTTAACGAATGAACGGATCTCCACGAAATTCAGCATAGATATAGTGTAGAGGATAGTCTCGAAGAACACATAGGCTACTTTTGTTTTTTCTAATTCCACGTGGACGGAGTCATGGGCAGAAGCTAGTATTACATAAATGTAAACTTACCACCATTAGCATATATGTCAATATGTCCCACAGTATCAGCCAGACCAAAGCCGTCCATATTAGTGTGCAGCGCGTCTACTGTGTGCGCCGCACTCGGACTGAACCTGTCCTCTGGTGGCAAATTACGAAAACACGGACCTGCCGGGTCTAACCCTGATTATAATAAAAAAAAATAAACAGTTACACAGCTTATAAAACAGTCTTTATTCCACTCATAGTCGATATCCCAGCTACATTTAACCATTCGTTAGTGTTTTCGTTAACTTCATGAAATGCGTTTCCGAATGTACCTTGAGATTTGCTCTGTTCAAACTTAGCTCAACCTAACACCAATGAATTGCTAGGTAATAAACGGAGACTTCAGCAACCCAGAATAAGTATATTTAAGCTCACATTACTCACCAGTAAGTCTCATCGGTTTCCTATAGGTTAGTTGGTGGTATTTAACCGCTGCGTGGTAGGCGATGTGGGCGCCCAGACTTCCTCCAAGTAATTCCATGTCTTTGTGCGAGAGGCCGCGGTGTGTCAACTGCGCTAGGAGCTCGCCTAACAGGTAGCCTAGTGGCTTGGTTAAACGAGCTGCGCTAAACATGTCAAAGGTATTGTTATACTTACAGTATTACTAAAGAAGCATTGGGAGTATTTAAACTTTTAGAGGGCATCTTTGCCTATACTATTGCATAACTGTTTAGTCGCTTTTTGATTCCTATGAGCTCATACGGAGGTAAAGGCACTTGATTTTCAGTTGTCCAATAAACAATTGACTATCGCACAGCAGTTGCTAATAGTTTAGTCTAAGGTGTGCGCCAGCTCTTAGAGTGATGAATGCTGTACAGATTACTGCTTTTATTAAACCTCATTATGCGGTTATGTACGTACAGGAATTGTGGAACATTAGTATTGTTTGTTTTTAATATTTAGTTTTAAATATCTATGTGAAATGTAGATAACTTGCATGGGATAGCTGCGATATAATATGGGAAATATCTCCATGACAATCACGTTGCGGTCCAGTTTGAGATAAGGGTCCAGTACCATCCGCGCCATAGGGGAGAACGACGCGTCCAAGTAACCGCTGATCAGCACCTGCCAAATGTCTGATTGAATAGAAGTATTTTATTTTTAATGTAAATGTGGGTTTTCAATTAACACTTATGGAAAGCAGGAATATAATATCCTAGCCTGGTGCCATCACTTTGTAATATGCGCAAAATCATTAGTTTTATAATGTGTTTTATTAGATTATTGGGCAAGCTGGCAAGTAACATTGTTTTCACTCTTTTTCGGTTTACTAAATAATACCAAGTCTTTATAGAGTTTTTTTCGTGAGTGGAAACTAACGACGACAGTCATTGGTTTGAATTCTCGCTTGTTTCGTAGTTTTTTAGGTATTTAAATGTCGATATGGTAAGACGAATCTAGTCACCTGTGTTTTTCTCCTCTTGAAATGCAAAACACTCGCAATACATGCGGCTCCGTCTGGACCGAAGTTGCATTTCTTTTCGTTAATTTCAAATATGTGAGATTTAGGCCAAAAAACGACCACTGACAGCGAGAGCTTCGTTTCTTCTGATAGTTTTATGCTGCGGTTCATACCGGGGCCTAAAAGTAACATTGTTTGTACATATCATATATTATGTTACATAGGAAACTTCATACTTTTGTATTATGAATTAAAAAAATCGATGTGCTTGGACCATTGCTATTTTAAAATACAAGGAGCTTTGCAAAGAATTATCTTGAAGTTTAACTTGAATAAAGGAACGGATAATTCAGTTGATTTAATGTCTTTACGTCGAGACATAGAGCTTATCCTTATTGTTACTCCGACCCTTTCTAATCCGTCTAAGCCCTAGCACCAAATACTATTTAGCAGCAAACAATACATAAAGAAGACTGACAGTGTGAAAACATTCATGTAATGTTGATAACTGCCGGAATGGAATGCGAATCCCATGAGATAATAATTACAAAAAGGAACAAAGACATGCAAGAATTTCACTTCCTTGGTAGTACTAAACTATGAAACTAAACAACAATGTATTTAAAAGATAACTTACAGTCGGCAAACAATCCTGCCGGGTACCCAGTGTCCTGTGCAGCCGACACCAAACCGCATCCAAACACCAAACCCAAAAAATATCTCATCTCAAATATTAACTTTGGTTAAATATTCTCTTACAGACGACTGATCAATGTTATCAACATTGTAAAACTGATGCGTTACAGAGATTCGAAGCGTAAGGTCAAACTGCAAAAATATTCAGAAATGCATACGCATTAAAACAATTTTAAACTGAATATTGATTAATCTATACCTATTCTGTACGAGTTACGATTATGCAGTTAATGCTAGTCTACTCAAATGTGGGCAGACATTTTAAATCTGCAGGATGGTGTAAAATTTAAATATCTGGCTAGAAATCAAAAAGTTAACGGCTAAACGAGTCCTGGCCACTCTACAAGCGATATCTTCCGCTCTCTTTCTTATCTGTATCGAATGATGAGTAAATTAGTCTCTGCACAAAATATTCGCGTAATTTTTGCTCGAATATTTTGCGCGCTTTTCACAAGTTAATTTTATCCCGCATTCGTTTAACTGTTATAAGGTCGAAAAGTGTTTCAGTTTTCCATATTTCCTCCGTATTATTAACTACGTAACCGAGTTTTGTTGCGTTAAAGTTTGGAACGTGTTTTATCTTTAAATTTGTAAACTAACAGTCTTACAAATATAGTAAGCCTTAGGAATAAACTGGGTATAAGAAAATCCTAGTACAATTTTTACATTTTCATATTACTAGCTTTCGTTAGCGACTCCGTCCGCGTGGACTTAAAAAAATTAAAGTATGTATGTGATCTTCCAGAGTATTTTGTACCTCGGTGCCAAATTTCATCGTGATCTGTCCAGCAGTTTACGCTACAAACTCTAACAAACATCCATCCATCCATCTAAACTTTTGCATTTATAATATTAATAAGAATTAGATATTTGAGTGTTACTAAACTTTGAAATCGATGTCTGTTTCTTATAAGATATGTTTTAAAAACACTACATCTTTTTAAATTTTATTCCAGCTGACTTGTGTCTTGTCGCCGTCGTCCGTTTAATAGTATTGGCTTATATCCAATGTTGAAAATGCAAAATTGGGGGAAATATTTTGTAATACATCATTCAACATTGGACAAAAGCCCAACAGAGATTTTGGGGAAAACTAAACAAAGGCAAATATTATATCGTCTAGAACTAAGGATACATATTTTTTGTGTTATTTGTAAATTTTGCTTACCCAATACTAAGCCTTGAGTAGGTGTATAAGTTTTGATTGATTTAGTATCAGCTAAATATTGCAATACTAGTCCCTGAACGCAGGAAACTAGAAAATAATTAAGAGTTTCCTACAAGAAAATTGTTTTCTGCTTTAATGACAACGAGGTCATACGCTACAGCGAAGTATTTCTACATTATTATACACTAATTATTGCACAAAGTATGTTATAGAATAATGAATTTCTTCCTTCGTAGTACATTAATTAAGCAGGATTGGGTAATTGCTGGGAATATTCAATACGTATTTTTAGTATGCTGTGTAATTTTTATTCTGTTTCTGTCACATTTTATATAAGTAATTCGAGTTTACAAAGTGCACGCTCCTTTCATCTCGTAATTTTGTTATACAAGTTTTTGATGACCTCGACCGCCAGCGAAAATTAAACTCACGTAACAGCGAGTACTGGCAGGCGCAGAATAAGGTATTATGAAAAAAAAACTCATTAATTTATAAATAACGATCGATTCACCAAATAATTATCAAAATACGTAAAACGTACCTCCATTTTCCACAAATAGATATTTCGTATATTTTCGTTTATTGTCATCGTCACTGAAAAGTGTCGCATTTTTTATTCATAGAAAAATATTTTCGACGTATTTAGATTTTTGTTACGCATTGTGAAATTCAGCCATGTTTTAGAAATCGTAGCATTTCCCACGTCGTATATATTGTAAATGGAACCTTTAGTTATTCAGGGATTAGATAAACAAGACATCTATCAAAAATAGCAATTAAAAAAGCATCATAAAAATCAAATAAAAGACCCGACATGTACAAAGTGCGCTAACTGCCGAGCATACGGTAGTCACAAAAACTACACACTCGTACAATATTCGCACTAGATGCGTGCTCGCCGACGCACTTTCGTCTCGTCGCTGCAATATTTCGTTCACATGCGGGTGTAGAAAGCCAATTATTCACTAATGTGGTCTTGAGACGGAGTCGCGGGCTATACCGGTTCCACCGGCGACCAAACCTGCCGGCAGTACAACTCCGGACAGCGTATCGTATACACGCCGTCGCGGCGCTCGCGAAAAACTATTGCCGATTTAAAATGTGTTGCTAATTTTGTGTGATCGTTACTATCAAACAGCTGTTACAATGAACGATTCTGTGACGCAAGGTAACTGGGATTGGTATAAGGAGGTGATGAGGTCTTGGCTAGAGGACCCCCTCGTGGAGCAGTTTGGGTGTCTCAACATGACGTCATTGAACATGGACCAGGCCTACATGACAGGAATCTCTGACAGAAATGTATCCCTGTACAGCGTCTCGGATGATTGTTTTCGAGTGAGTATGCGAAATTTTGTTTGTAAACAATTAGGAATTCCAGTATTTCTTTAGTTACAAACTTTTTTTTTACTGCGATAATACAAAAGTCTGCAGATATTATAACATCGTATCTTTCAATCCTTTGTGTTGATTTCGAGTAGGTGTTAAACATTAAATACATATAAGCTCTTACGTCTTTTGATCAAGTACTAACCAAGGTCACAAACACATCGTTTACGACTCAAACACGACAGGAGATTAGCCTGTCGCCAGAGTAGACAATATTTGGATTTGCATTAACATGTAATGAATTTCCACGGCTGTAAGATCCTTTAAATACAAGTTCATTAAGTGCAATGACCGTTTTGCAGATCAGTAAACATTCAAAAACACTTACATACTACCTTGTCTCCGAATGTTATAAACACTTCATTAGGACTTTATTTTAAATGTTAAGATAATTTTTATAAGTACAAGAGTGAAGCGAACATATATTTTTATGGACACATGATGTGCACGCTTAAAAAATTGACACTCGATACGCCATTGTTTTAAAAAATAAAAGCCTGACTCACATGTATCAAGCTTACATTGCACTTTTAAATACATTGTAATACAATGTAATGTGATAAAAATTAATCGTCCTTTAAGTTTGGTAAATATTGCAGTGTTTATATAATTTAAAGCACAATTGATTAATTAGACGTCTATGCAATTTCTACGTTCGAATTTTGACAAGATTTATATCATAACATAATTTCTCTCTATAGTAGACAGTTTTGAGTTAGATTCATCCTGTAAAAATGATCTACTAGCTTTCTCTCTTGGTACCGATCACGCGGAATTAAAAAGAAAACAAATGCAAGTAGCCTATGTGTTCTTCCAGACTATCCTATACATCTATAGCAAATTTCATCGAAATCCGTTCAATCGTCTAGGCTACAAACTCTAACAAACGTCCACCCATTCATCCATCCGTCTAAAGTTTCGCATTTACAAGTGCTTTTTATGTGATGCATTCTACACAATACATACGTTGTTATGACATTCTAAATGCCATTTATTATTTTCTAGTAACAATATAAATTGTCTAGTCTTCAAATATCTACATAAGGAAGTATATCAATGTATGAAAGTAATTTATTAGTAATGTAAACATCTATTACGTGGATGTTTAGTACAGTTTACTTACTGTCTAATAGTTGATGGCAGAAATGAAGATTAAAAATATTCAACCTTGATCCAGAGGAATTACGCATTATTTTTATTATTTTGTAAGATATTGACTCTGGTATACGTACTGGTTACGAGTAATTTGTATTTTAAAATACTTATTTAGAACTCAAATGTGATCACAGTCCAGTGTTCAGGTAATCAAAAAGATTGAATTAGTAAATAACCAAAAAAACCACCGACATAACACAGGTATATTTATGTGAGAAAATTTAAACATCTACATTGTTATTTAATTGTAAAAATGTTAATTATCTCATTGTTTATATCACAGTAAGTTATTAAAATCTTTGAGTTTAATATCTTTTAAAAAACCTTCCGTACTGTCGTTTCCTAAAATTTGTGTGAATTTGCTCAGCTAATTCCAACTATCTTCAATAAATATCTACAAAAGTGAACTTGGATTAGACTGTACTGCATGTTTTTCTGTCAAGACCCTTTTGGAGAAATGGAAAAACAAACGGAGTAATAATTTCCACAAACACAACAAAATTATCACGGCTGTTCTATAGCTTTTAAACTGCGACTTCATCCGTGTAAATTAAAAAAAAGTACTAATTTGCATATTCCAGACAACGTTCTACGTTTGTGTCAAATTTCATCGATATACGCGTTAAACTATACTAAGCATACAAACCAATTTATAAATCCATATCGTTAGTACAGCCCTACCGGTAAGATGCGTGTAATAGGGCGGGGGCAAGTTTTCTCGGCAAGTGGCAGGAACGTGCTCGAGCGGCTGTCGCAAGCGCGTTGAGGTTTTTTGCCTTGTTCGTGAGTAGTACGGAATGCACCTCAGTTTCCCATACGTATACACTTCTTTTTAATTAATACAAGCAGTTGGGAAACGTCTCAAACCGGGCCGCTTTTACACCATACAGTATATAGCACTCTTGTGCAACCTTTCACTGTGTGAGCGCAGTGGTTTACTTTTAGGGCGAAATGTTCGTGGGAAAACAATGCGTTTGTGAAATATGAGAGATTGGATTAGTTAATTTTTTGTTTTACTGCAATTATTCATATTATTCAGTAATATTTGAATATATAAATATTGATCGGGCTTTTATACCGTTAACTTGCGACTCCCCTCCGTTGTGTCAAAGTTGTAATTATTTTACCTTTGTTACTAACAGTAATTGAATAACACATAATACTTAATGACATAATCGGATTTCCCGGGGAAAGCCCGTGACGAGTCAATCGATGTACAACCTCGCGACTCGTGGGTCAATCAACCCGTGACGGGAAAGCGCATTGTTTTTAATTTTTAGTCCCCTGCACTCTCCACTTTGTAGATAATAGATAAAGGTTGTTGAGAAATTAATAAACCTTTTTATAATAATTCTTTACTAATATTATAATGAGCCTATTCACCTGTTTGGTCCGAGAAAGTTTTGATGTTAGTGAAAAGTTTAAAGCACTTGAATTGTCACTTTAATCACCTCATTAAAATTATATTACGATAGTGATTTTCTAAAACGAAATTTATATTGAATGCGTTGTTTAGAAAATCTTTTAATATTTACAATTAATAAGTCAAGACTGCACCTGATTGTTTTATATTAATGACAGTGGAAATATAGCACGGTATTGCACTGACTTACCACAAACAGACAGTAAATGTGGAGACAGAGGATGTGAGGCAACGCTAAGCAGCCGTATCGAGTTTGCGGAGCGAGCGATTGTTCCCAATCGACGGTGAAATTGCCAGATCAACTGACACACTGGCCGCATGTAACAAATATTACCACTTTCTAGGGTTTACAATTATATATATTCACGTGATTTGTGGGAGCATTTCGTCATTAAAAATTGCATCTTGCACAGTTACAAAACGACAATTTCTACCAACTAGTTGTAAAAATACCATCAGTTTTAAAAAGTCATAATAAACGCATAATTTCCCTTTGACATATTATTTGTAAATCAGATTTAATTCTTCCTTTTAAGAAATGGTAAGTTCATTCGATAAGTGTGTTATGAACTAATTTCTTGAGTTAATTCCATAAAGAAAACAAAACTATGTCAAGTTTCATACACAGGAAGCCATATTAGCAAAGGTACTGTCTTAGAGTAGATATATTCCTCAGCCAGTAAAAAAGTAAACGCTAGTATTTATTAGTAAGAATTATTATCCCTGATATTTAGAATAGTTTAAGAAAAGTTGATGAAATAATTGCAATACAGTCTTCATCATCATCAGAGGCACTACAGCCGCGGGTGGGCCTGGGCCTGGTCCAGTAAATTCCTCCATATCGGTCTATCTTGGGCTGACATTTTTAAGGTCTCGTTCGATATCATCTTGCCATCTTAGTTTCGGCCTTCCGCGTGATCTACGTCTCTCTGGTGGACACTCTAATAGGCACTTGGGCACTCTGCAGTCACTCATCCTCGCTACATGTCCTGCCCAGCGTAGCCGACCAATTTTGATGGCCTTGACAACGTTTGGCTCATTAAAGATTTGTGATTGTATCGGGTTCGTCATTGATTGTTTACAAACAGTACAGTACAATAAAGCAATACAGTACCCCATTCTTTTATTTATAGTAAAAACCAAGCCAGACTCTAGTAAAGAATTCATTTCCATTTGCAAAATGTAAGTGTTTCTCAAAACCAGTTTCGCTTGTCAGTTAAGATTTATATCAATACAGCTACATATTTGCGTGTCGTGTCTAGATGAGCCTAGATAACACTAAGTGATGGCTATTCAAACCAGTTTAAAAATAAATACTTAACAAAAAATAATTAACGATCATTTCAATATAAAAAAACATGCTATACACTGTGATCATAACATTAAAAACAAAATTCCCCGTTAACTTCGACTTAGATGTCATAAACTGTGTTCGATTCTAATTAACATTTAACGGTAGAAAAGTAATATTAACTATTACTAAGCTTGTATGCTTTTAAAGCTCGTATTACGTCTCTATGTAAAGGTAAACGTTTCGATTAAAATGCTTAGAACGATATAAACAACGTAAAGCGTAGCTTAGCCTGATGGATTACGTCTGTGAAACCTTAGGGTGCGGGATCGATTACCCTTTACTTACACCCTTGATCTATAGATAACTTTTTGTTACTAGCAAACACAATTGAGGTCAAAATTATTGTAGGCCAACACCTACGTGTTTACGGGCAATTTATAACTTTATTTTGCAAAAGCATTTTGCATAATTGTTGGGGAAGTCTTGAGATATCGATTAATAACTCGATTCTATCAACTTAGGCTAGACTCTACCTTAGGATCGGCACAATTATGACTGAATTTCCGAAGTTAAATATCAAGATATTTATGAAAATTATATTTTGTCTCCAGTGCCCCTTCGAGCTACAAAAGACACTTGAGGCGGGTGTGCAGAGCACGTTCGTGGTGAACACCGCGCGTCGCGCCACCTGGCGGGTCTATGAGGACGTCAGCGAACAGTACATGAGCGCCGCTAATGCTTCGTAAGTTTTACATTTCTATTGAATCTCTTTTCCAATAGAATTGATAACGGAAACGTCGTTTGCTGTAAAAAGCTATTTTTTTTATTTAGTGAAACTGTATATAAGTTATATATTCAAAGTGAATATCGGTTTGTACTTTGTTGCGTAAAAAGTGTCAAATACATTACCCAAGTTAAATTGCCATATGTCCGTGGAAAGTAAAAGTTTGCGCTGTTTGTTTCTGCTATATTTAGGATTCATTGTGATTGTAAATCTCAAAAAAAACATGTAGAGTTTAAATTCGTCTTGAAAATTGTATGAAAACTTGTATCTAATCGACTCGTGATTTGTCAAAGATATTACTTATTGGTGACTGTTTCAATTAGCGCCAGTCGTATGAGAGATTTTATGTAACCTTTTTTATCTATTTAAAACTTCATTACAGACCGCAAATACCATTACATAGACATTCTCAACCGGTCAAACACACCGTACGAAAATAAATATAGAGACAATATAAATAAACATTGTATCAAATAGATTAGATGCCATTTTTACACGTATTTATGAAGCATAATGTTTTTGCGGGTAGTTACATATTTCAAACAATTTTATCTTTTAATTTTAGCAGTCTTAACAACTTGATTGATTTTGTTTGTGGTATCTAATTCGATACATCTACAACGATTATAGTACAATTATTTAGTGGACTTTCTTTTTTTTTTAAATCTTGTTTGCTGTACTTGTGCAGGGGTTTGATCTGCCAGCTACGTCCAGAGCTGGGAGAGTTCGGCGTATACACTTTGAACGCGACGGGCGAGGGCTGCGATGTTCGCACCGACAAGGAGCCTGTTAACATCTATCTACGTGAGTCTTTTGTTTAACGTATATTGCACGTGTCGGTATTTGTTTTTAATGTGTCAAGGACGGAATAGTATTTGTATTATAAATAAGTGTTTGTTGAATTACTGTGAAACTCTAAAATAGTTTTGAATAATTGTAAAACTATTTAACTACCTTCATAAGTTTGGATAACCAACTATTTGTACATATGGAACAAGTTGTGAAACCAAATATTTATGTGAATCGAAAATAGAAGAAGAATTGCGGGTGGATTTTATTAAGGTTACAGTATGACCTAGATATGACACCTTTAAAGGAATATTGGACAATAAACAGATAAGGAAAATACATAAAATTTGCATCTTTTGAATTTATTATCTGTGCTCAATATCGTTTATTTTATCTCCAAACCCTTGACACAGTATCGTATCGGTCAGTCCTTGTTATGTCGAGGGGGTATATCTTTGGAGGTTTTCTTGACACTCTTGCACTTGTTAAATATGAAGTTAAATCGCCTTGGGATATGACACCAAGTAATAATAGGGGTGTTTGTGTGAACATAAGGCTGATGAGCCTACCGAATAACATATGGGAAGGCCCAACGGGAAACATCTATCAATAGGTAACGTTTCGTATTGTGTATAGTCAACTTAAATAACTTTTAATAACTCCTGTTTTATTATTGTTATACAAATTCAAATATTGCTATGACTTTGAGTAGCATAGTTGTTCCAAAAGCAATAAATTTGATCAAATCTATTTAGATGTTATTCAATAAATACAAATCACCTTATACGTATCTAAAGAAAACATTTTTGCGACGTTTCGTTTGGCTAAGGTCAATATTTTGCCGTTTTTTATAACATTTGGTGTTAAATTCATTAACATATGCTACATTTGTTTTGGTTTTAATTAAAAATCTACATTTACATCCCACTTAACATTATAAAAAAAAAATTGAGAACCCTGCACAAACTGGAAATTTCTCATAGTTACTTGTTAGTTATTCTAACACTGTCTTTTTAAAGTGGAAAAAGCAGTAAAGCCATTGATAATTCTAAACTTTTATTCCTCTTACGGTCTAACGTCTAAGATCCTGTTTTACGGGGTCCAGTCAGAAACGTGTTTCTTTAGCAGAGGCTCTCTTTATTCTTAATTGAAGTTAATGTTTCGAATGTTTTAAAAAGATACCTTAGTTTATATCAATGTTTCTAGCATTTTTTAATTTAGGTTTTTTAAGTTAAAAGTCTTTAAAAATAAAATTCGGTTATTTTTCTATTTGACTTAATTTTTGATAAATTGTGCATAAGTTCAGATTAATTTGGTAAATGCTTACCAATTTTGCATAACTTATAGCAACTCGTATTTATCTGTTCGTAGTTTTACGTGAACTATAAGTTACAGCTTAATTGGGCAGTCTGCCTTGACGACCTCTTTGCATGCAATTTCGCGAGATGTGTTGAGGTCAGCTATGCGCGAAGATTACAGAACATACGTTTTAGCCTCTTCTTAATATGGGCGTAATATACGGATGTTTTTCCGTCAAGATTATGTGAAAATTATGTCAGTACGCCGAAATATTATTTTGATTAAATTATTTTTTTTAATATTTCTTAAAGATATTCAGGAGTTTGATTTATTATTGACTTCTAAGTTAAATTTATAAATAAATTTAGAAAACAAATAATGAAGTGAAAACAAATAAATCCAAGTCACGCTCTAAGACAGATAACGAAAATCGACGTAATTGTCGTCTGTAGTGAAAGCTGTGAATAAACTCATACTACCGGCCGACGAAGTGCGATAAATCTAACATTTCTTTAGTCATCGGCTGACAGGCGTTACATAGTAGCCAGTACGGAATCACAAAGTATAATGAATAAGTAAATAATCTATACTATTATAATAAAGCGTAGACACACACTTCTTTGTTGCCTAAGATGTCAGCATGAATAATTCTTTCTTTAATAAAAAGCCCTACAATTACGTCACGCTTTAGGCTATATATTTTTACGCCATTAAACTTAGGGGGTAAATGTTTTGGATAAAAACCCTCCTGTGGGAAAGAGACCATAAGTTGCTGCCAACATCAAGGAAGCAAAATTGCCATTCTTTGTCATCATGTCATGTCATTTGCGATTGAATTTGACAAATGTAATCAATAAAAAGATTTTCATAATTTCATGCGAATGAAGTCGCATGGGGACAGCTAGTGATAAAATAATTAAGACGAGACATTAATTCCTTGGTTGCATCAAAATATTCATACATTCCTGTACACATGTATACTGTAAGGATGTCATTGAATAATGTGTAAGGCAAGGGCTTGCATGTTGACATGTTCTCGATAACAATGGATGAAGAGGGAGGGCTGCTATGAGAGTGAAACGGTTCTTCTGGCAAAGAAGCAAAAAGTTTCCAATAATAGAGTTAATAATTGCCGTTTTTATACTTTATCTTTAATAATAATTTCTAAATGCGAAGATGAACATTCATTTGAACTAATTCATTACAGTAGGAACAACGCCATCTATCGGAATTTTATGAGTTATTACTAAATGGCGGACCAATGGGAGTATCTTACAGTTATTCGCACATCCTGTTATTAATCCTGGTCATATAACAATGCGGTACGAAGACAAGAGGCGTCGAGTGGGCGGCGCGAGTCTTGGCCCAAATCCTTTGTTGCGGCGACGCGCTGACGAGCATCTTCCGCTCGCACACGCGCACGCGACACATTTAGCTCTTCAATCAGTGCTCACTGTCCACTGTCGTTTGAGAATGTAGGCCATCTTGTTATTTTTAACAAGCGCTTACTGTTTACCTTAAATATTATAATGTTTGTACAGCCTGGCCTAAAACGTTAACGTTTGACTGATCACGAGAAAATTGAAAACACGACACGTTATTGAGATCTTACAATCCAAATCTACACTTTGACTTTGAGAAATACATCGTATTATTCTAAATAAAACCAAAATAGTTCATAATTTATTGATATTGCTACCGCATAACTTTATGGCACGAACATTGAGAGTCTAAATATCACATTCACGGGCAAGTTTATTGAGCTTGCCGTAGATGGAGTAGAACAAGTCCCAAAAGGCCATCCGGCTGTTGAGGATCCTATGCTCCAGTCTGAGGTCCGTGTCAATGACAAGGTACGGCCTCGTCTCTTCTGACACCGGCTCCCAAGTCACTGGTATCAGATCCGACGTCTGTGGTGTGGGGTTTCTGAAATCATCAATAGAAATGAAGAATAAATAGAAAATACACGTGATTACAAACATTATGAATCTTAATTATAAGCTCACCCGTATTTGACGAAGTTTGCCCACAGGGTGGTAATACGGTGACTAATCAATCGATCTTCTTTTGCTTCGTCATTTCCGTTTGAATCCGGGAAAAGATACGCGATTTCTGCTGAATGTGCAGCGTCGCCGTTGGATCCGTAGCTGAATTCATAATTATATACCGGATTAGCGTTCTCATTCAACAGGTTCGTAATCGTACGTTGCGTCGGATGATTATGTATGAAATCTGACTCAAAGTCTTCTAATTCCGCAGTCACGTCTGGCGATATTGGTTTGTCGCCGATGTAAAAGCGTCTTACAATACCTGCTGCTTGGGCGAGTTGTTCTTCGTTGAGATTAAAATTGTCTTGAAGTTTTTCGTAAAAAGGATCTGTTTTGAAGTATTCACTACCGCGCATCTCAACTGAACCTTTCTTCTCTTTGCTGGTGTGACCGATTAGTACAGGAGTATTTCTGATTTTCCTTTCATTGGTAAGAGTAAAAGGATCGGTTTCGACAAAATTCTCTATGCTGCTGAAAGATTTTTCTTTGCACGGACCTAATTTTAAATTAATATCGGTCGCGGCGGCTGTTACTATGTGAGGCGAAGAGCTAGTGAGGAACGTCAGCGCTTCTGCATTGCTAGAAGTATTAAGTCCAAGATGAGCTGCCAGTTTTAAAGCTGCATCCAAATCGCCATTTACGAACATTCCCTCACTTTGTGGCGTACCACTCTCTACGATAGCCTTATTAAAGAGCTTCTCGTTGTCCGAATATAAATGTAATAAAACTGATGTAGCTCCAGAATTTTGACCACCGATAGTAACGTTATAAGGGTTACCTCCGAACGCTCCGATGTTACGTCTGATCCAGCGCAACGCCGTGTATTGGTCTTTGAGGCCTTGGTTACCAGTAATGGAAGGGTCGTCGAGACACATGAATCCATACGGCCCGAGACGATAGTTTATTGTGACCACAATAATTCCCTGCTTAACTAAGTCATGTGCGTCGTATTCTCCACCACTACCGGAAGTGTACTGGCCTCCGTGTATCCATACAAGGACAGGTAATGGGTTAAACATGCCCGCAGCTATAGGTACGTAGATGTTCAGGTAGAGGCAGTCGAGTTGACCGATTTCACGCTTAGAACCTCTCGCAGAAAACGACGATTGGGGACATTTGACGGTGGCGTCGTCGGCGTCGAATATTTCTTCTTCGAAAGCCGCGGGTGATACAGCCGCCTGTAATAAGTAAAATAATATAATAATAAATGTTCAGTTGAAACATTTTGCATATAATATTTTATCGAATGGTTGGAGCTTTTAAGAATTGTAAACAAATGAATTTCACATAATATTTATTAGCAATGGAATTAATTTCCGCTCATACAATTACCAAGTTGTGATAACGATATCACAGTATACCCTAGTAAGTTTAGTTAGTTCCAATCTTATCATTGAGAAATGTACTTACCCCGAAGGGATTACTGGAATCCACCTTAGCATATGGTATACCAAGGAACGCCGAGTAAACGTTGTCTTCTGACTTCCGTCCCCGAACTAGACCTTGCTCGATAAGAACGAGAGGGTCAACACGGAAGTTCGCACTGTCAGCATAATTTGCCGCACATAAAACACACAGGAGCCAAAGGAATTTCATTTTAATATTTCCATAGAATACGTATTGAGCCGAATCCCCAAAGTATCAGTGACGACTGGCGTTAGTAAGCTATGTGTCAGGTTTAAGTGCCGGATATTTTATCTGAACGAGATGGAGTTCCATAGCCCTTATCTGTCAGGAGTCTGAAGTATATCATACAAGCATGATGTTATCAAAGATATCATTTGACAAATGCATGCAGATACAACGATATTATGACGTAATACAATTCTTAAGAATTACATTCGGTATTACTAAGATAAATGTAATGTTATGGTCAATAATAATACAAATTCGACTAACAATGAACTACGAAACAATTATAAGTTATGATGAAAGGATAAATTCTATTTAAACTTTTTCTTTCAGCTCTGCTTCTTTGTGTGAGCTTGCTGCTAGGAATATGGGTGCTATACGGCCTGGGGAAACTGATCATGTCACGGATCAGACGGACTGGCAAGCTGCGTTACGGCGACAAAGAACTAGCTATGCAGCAGCGATTACGGGCACTTGACACGTTTAGAGGGTGAGTGGAACCTTGTCACATTCAATAATATTTTGTTCCCGCAGAAATACATCAGTTTATCTAATGGAATCTAGTAAATATTATATGCGATCTTTGTGCATATTTTTTTTAGTGCACGCATATGCATATTTTAATTTAGCTATTGTTGTTTAGCTTGATTAGTTGTATGGGTTCCTGTCTATATGTCCACATAATCTCAGAGATTCTTTTTTATGCTACTTTAATTTGTAGGTGTGACTTTTTTATTAATTATAACCAAGTGTGGTGTTACACAATTCTGCAGTATGTTTCATTATAATTGTAACTAATTATTTTATGTTCATAGAATTGCTATTGTGTTCATGATCTTCGTGAACGATGGCGCGGGTGGCTACTGGTGGTTGGAGCACGCTACGTGGAATGGTCTGGCGGCTGGTGACCTGGTGTTCCCCGCCTTCCTCTGGATCATGGGCGTCTGCATTCCGCTCTCAGTCAAGAGTGCGTTCGCTAAGGGCATACCTAGATGGAAGATCGTACTGCAAATACTTAGGGTGAGTGATTAAGTCTTTCTCTTGACATGCATATGGTAAAGGGCAAGTTAATGTCGTAGAAAAGATATTTTCCATAACAGCTGTGTTGCTCTTAAACATTTCTTATCATTACATATGTATCGGTCAAGTTATCGCAAATGGTATTCCATTTCTTATCAATATAAATATTTGTCGATATGTTTGTTTCTAAGCAGCTTTTACTCAATTACTCAGTTTATTTTAAATCGCATATACGACTTTGAGTGTTTTGAGTTTTGAAAAACATGTGCAATTCGATATTTTTCATTGTAACAGATTTCAACTGCTTCTTTGTCTTTAAAACGGACACAAGGTGCCTGAAATAAAATCGAGAAGTTATTAAGAGCGCTTTAAAAAAGTTTTTGACATTTAAATGCAAAGTTGCAAGATGTGTTACGTAAAAGCCGTACAGCCTGCACCGACTGGTCGCGCCGCGGCTGCTGACAAACCTGTATTCTGTATTGCTGTAGTTACATATTCAAGTATCGGGATTCATACGACGATCAAGGCTTGCTTCAATAAATCATATTTATCCGAACCCTTGATCATTAAAATGTTAGATATTTTTCGTAAAATTTGCGTTGATTTCTCATTATATTTGACAACTGCGGCTGCTACTATTACTAAAATCATTGATAAGAAATAAATATCTTACAAATTACTAAGTATGTATGTGTTCTTCAGACTGAGATGACGTATGAAGGAGTTATTTGGAGGACAAAAACCATTGCGCCGACACTACTCGAGTAGGATAAGGAGGATGATGATGTGTTCTTCAGACTATCCTCTACATCTATGCCAAATTTCACCAAGATCCGTTCAGCAGTTTGGGCTACAAATCCTAACAAACATCAATCCATCTGAATCGCATTTACACTCGTAATATTAGAAAGAGTTTTGCCTACTACTGTCACCACCTTTTAAAAGTGCCTGTAAAAAGTAACCAGTGTAATATGAACGAGTATAGTAAAGGTTGGATTCAACCAATATTTTTACATTTTGTCGTGTATATAAGAGGTAGATATCGTTGGCTAGTACCTTACTCTCTTTTTACAAATTTTTAAGACATATCTAAAGTGATTACAGATTTATTTTCTAACGATCTTGTAACATATTAACTAATAAACTGATGTTCCATCATTACCGGGGAAACGTCGGAGAGAGCTACGCGAGCGATGGCACGCGACTGAGGAATTTCTAATGAACTATTCCGCAAAAGACGAGCTCACTTGAATTATTTATCAACACATTGTTTATGTCTGAAGTGAATGTTACAGATGCGATCAGAGTGCATCGGGAAGTGCCTCATGTAAGTGAAAGTGAACGGGAATAAACTGTAATGGAATATTAAAATAAGTGCACTGTCCATCTTTAAACAAAATGTATGTTGTAAGTTGATTTCAGTAGTTGCCAAGAATTGTACCAAAACGTATCATGATATAAAAATATTTTCTTTGAGACAATAGTTAAAAATGTAGAACAATTTGGTAGGTTATAATTTTTTATTAATCTGAATGTAATTTTTATGTTTAGAAACTCCAATTTCCAAACCACACTATCATGCTTCGTACTTCATACTAATATTAAAAATGCGAAAGTTTAGATGGATGGATGTTTGTTAGAGTTTGTAACTAAAACGCTGAACGGATTTCGATGACATTTAGTATAGATGTAGAGCATAGTCTGGAAGAACACGTAGACTACTTACAATTTTTTTTTTAAATTCCACGCGGACGGAGTCGCAGGCAAAATTTGATGTAAAGCGAAGCTTGATTCATAGTTATTAATTACTCCCCAGCGTTCAGTGGTGATGTTCGTGTTGGGAGTGTCTCTGAACACGATCTACGGGTCCAACATGCTGGGCGAGCTGCGGGTGATGGGTGTGCTGCAGCGGCTGGCTGTCGCATACCTCGTTGCAGCGGGATTCTATGCTCTTACCGCGCCTAAGTACTATACACCGCCACGGGTAAGATTTCAACAACCCTTATTGCTAATCAACTAACTTTTTCTGGTATAATGGCAGTGGAAATTGTACTAACGTTATATGTAAATTGAAATAGCAGTTGCACGCCTAGTTGCGTTATGAAAAAGTACCCTAATGTTTTCAATTATTGTTTTTTTACTTATTGTAAATATATTTTAAAATCAATTAAAAAACATGTTTAAGTAATTCTCAATTGAAAGATATGAGATGAATCTGTACTTTTATACCATTAAATAGGTCAGATGGGAAAGGATAATTTTGTTCAAGATGCTTTCAATCATAATGTTCTTATTATAGACTTGTTCAGTTGCAAGCAGCTCGCGGATGTATTGAGACAGGATAATTTCATTTGGACACGATTGTTTAAGTACTATTTTCCTGTTTGTTAAGAAATGTATTTGCGATAACAAGGTTAAATAGCCCTCTAGTTAAAAACTATTAAACCTATGTGCATTTTCTTATGAAATATGAATATTTTTATACATTTGAAAAAAGAAAAGCTACCTAAGTACACTACTGGTAGTTGGTTTACACACTCCACATGTAGATATACTTATATTAGCTATATTTGTGGGTTAGGGTGCTTGCGGGCAAGCGCTCAAAGACCTGATGTCGTGCATCTGGTGCTGGGTGCTGGCTGCTGTGCTGGTGGCCGCGCACACCGTCATCACCTTCATCCTTCACCACCCGGACTGTCCTGCGTAAGTTTATACCTTTTAATAAAAAAAAGGGTATCAGAAAAACTGTTCGTCATCTGCTCTTGCTCTCAGCAGGCATAAGTGATTTTCAATCATGTAAAAAATCATTGACACGTATATAAAGGTCTTCAGTAGGGATAATGTTGGGTGTTGCAGGGGCTACTTGGGTCCGGGTGGCAAGCATGATGAGTGGGCGGCGCCGGAGTGCGGTGGCGGTGCGGCAGGTTACATCGACCGTCTGGTACTGGGCGACGCGCACCTTTACCAGCACAGCGACGCGCGCCGCGTCTACGGTGGACTTCCTACTGACCCTGAGGGATTACTCGGTACACTATCCCACAAATAACGGTTGAGTGTGTGCTCTTTTGTACTTTTGTGGAATTTAAAGTTTTGGATCTGCTACTGTTGCGCAGGCTGCCTGACGTCTGCGGTGCAGGCGCTGCTGGGCGTGCAGGCGGGTGCCACGGTGCTGCTGCAGCGCGCGCACCGCGCCCGTGTTTCGCGCTGGCTGGCGTGCGCCCTCGCACTCGCCCTCGCCGGCGCGCTGCTGGCCGGCTTCTCGCGCGACCACGGCGTCTTACCTATCAACAAGAACCTTTGGTGAGTGTGTTTCTTGTCTGCACCATTTAACAGATGGAATGTGCAGCGAAGTGTTTCAAAGAAATGATTTTTATTTTTAATATTGCAGGTCGATGTCGTTCGTGCTGGTGACGTCGGCATGTTCGCTGACGCTGCTCAGCATCTGCTACACGTTCACGGACGCGTGGCGGCTGTGGGGCGGCGCACCCTTTCGCGCACCCGGCCTCAACGCCATCGCGCTCTACGTGGGCCACTCGCTGTGCGCCCACTTGTTCCCCTTCCACTGGCGCGTGCCCCTCATGCGGACGCACGCCGTGCGGCTCCCGGAGGCGGTGTGGGGCACCGCGCTGTGGGTCATCATAGCCCACGTCATGGCCAAGAAGAAAGTGTTCATAACCCTCTGAGAGTACGCCTCATTCGACTCCGCGCTGACCGTCAACATAGCGGAGTACGAGGTGTTCAGCAACGCGCGCGCGCGCGACGTGCGGCGCGACACCGACATAGTGCGGCTGCGCGCGCGCCCGCCCGCCGCGCGCCCCGCGCCTCCGCGCTCGCCGCTCTCCGCGCCCCTGCTGCCGCACCGCCGCAAGCGCAATGTCGTTTCTCTGTAGTACAGTGTAGTGTACTGACACTCTTTTTAAGTTTTTATTCTTCGAGGTTATAAAGTTGATCGAAAAGTGTGGGTATGACTTGGAACTCAGATTTGGACCTTTCGATACACAAAATTTTACAAGAAAATGACATTTAGATTTTTATAAGAATAGCTGTCGTGGATTCAGATAGTGCCCACGTGTTTGAAGTGCCGTTTAATATATTTTATAGTACTTTTATATTTAGAATTTTACAAGTAGTTACATATCTCTAAGAATCATCCGTAGGTCATAATAAAATGTAATTTCAGGTATGACTTTTTGTAGATTTAAAATATTGCTCAAAAGTAAAATGAGTAAACGATGCATTTGAAAGTTTTGTACATTTGTGTCCGTGTGAGCTTCAGATCATAATCAAATCTAGTCTCGTTCAGAGCAAAGTAACGAATTCTACTTATTACATTGTGTAAAAGTATAGAGTTTAAGATTAATTCTGCGTTGCATTAGAAATAAAACAGTTTTTATGTAGAAAATGTTGTTTAATTGCTTCATCCGCGCATCCAATGTCGTCATTAACGATATTGGCGACATTTGTTACTTACAGCCCCCGTGGTTGTGGAAATAAGGAGTAAAACGTAAGCGTGGTATGGGCATGGTATGAGAAGGGATGGATCGCATGTATCAAGGAGGATTGCGTGAAAGGTGACATGATCAAGAAGGGAGTGATGACTGAGATGACGAATGACAGTTATTTGTAGGACGAAAACTCAGTGCCCTGACCCTACGGAAGTAGGATAAGGTGGGGGAGACGATGTTCAATTAAAAAGAAGAATTTTGACATAATAAAACAACCAATATACGATATCTCGTTTTATTAGCTCAAGGGTGACAGTAATATCCGCATTGTCATTGGAAAATAATAATAAAACAAACGATTTAACAAATCATGACTCAAGGTAACAGCGAATAGTTTTAACAAATAAAACTATTAATAAAATTACACTTCATATTAACATAACAAAACTATTGTGAGCGCGGCGCGTCCACATTACACCTTACGTCAGCGATTGCTCCATGCGAGGTTGTCCACGTCTCATACATTCAACAACTCGACAGAACAACCTCGCATGGACATTGTCACCCAATATGCGCACCTCATACTTAAATGTATGTATAAATTTAAGTTTGGCATTTAACATTAAGTTATATTATGTCGAAATAATGACACATCGCGACGGAACGAATACATTTATAATTACATAATTTAATATTCTATTTTAGTTCCATCATATAAGTCGTTTTCAAATAAATCACTCTTTTGTAGACGGTAAATGCCATATTAGGAATTAAATATATTAACTACGCGTTAAATACTTTAAATATATAACAGTTACAAATAGCACATGATAATTTGCCATTCCTCTCTAATCTATCCTCGATTCTTATATTGGTACAGTCAGTAACGAAAGACAGGCACGCTTTGTAATTTACACATAATTATATTTTGTATATAAATAGATATAATTACACTAATTTATAGAACTAACTTGTATAGCGATAGACACATAAAACAGTGTTTATATATTTCTAAAATTTTTATAGAAAAAATCTCTTAAAATATATCAATAAATTCTTTTAGCCGCTTCGTGGAGCGAGATTGTAATACACGATATATTCCAGCGATGATATAAATATAACATTTACTTATCACTAAATAGGAAGAAACTTTAAATGATTTAAAAAAGAGAACGATGTAATTGCACACACTTAGTAAACACTACGCCCGCCCTCTGCATCTCTGCTACCAAAATTAAATAGCATTTATTACGTTAACATACAATAAACAAGTATAGCAAACAATTTTGTACATAGAAATGGTAATTGTTAGTTTAATTACATATAGAATAACATATAAGTACTGAGCTCACTTTAAGTCACTCATATATACGAATAATGGAATGTTTAGTATGACAGAATGTTACCGGCTGCGTCTCAGACTGTAGCAACGAGGCTACACCGGAGCGAACAAGAAACTGAGATTCAGTTCACTTTAGCTATAGGAATAGAGACCACGTGTCACAAAGTCTTAGCAAGATGCAGTCATGGTTCCGTGAAGAACTAAGAACATCGACTTTAATTGTTGCTCATGCTCAGCAAATACATTTATCTTATAATTTTATAAATATATATAGATATATATTTTTAGTAAAGTTATGGTCAATATAAAGGTTTTTTTAGTAAAAGGCATGACGTTATTTGTACTTGTCGATGTAAACAGCAGTACGAACCGAATGTGTGAGTGCCCCCCTCCCCCGCTCACCTCGCTACGTAGAGACTAGACGTCAACGATCCAGGAATCGTTTTCCATTGACAATTGGTCATTTATATGTCCACTATTGGATGCACACATCTTATTTTACTCTTAAATAAATGATAAAAATCTCTAGGACGATACACATTTCGCTATAAATGCAAATTCATGGAATTCAAAATTAACCGGTAAGACGCGTCGGCGCACGCCTTACATATTATGCTAAGTTCCCGCCGCGCCCACCGCGCCCACCGCGCCCCGGCGGCGTAGCGGCCGTGCGGGAGATAACGAAAATTCATTAAGTAGTTTAGTCACATGCCTTTTCCTTCAATTAAAACTCGATGTCGGATCATTAGGCCAGTAATAATAAAATGGTTAACAATAGATAAAAACATCTCAGTACATTTATTATGAAGTAAAAGCGGGTCGCCCGCGGGCGCCGCGCATACCGACGTATGCCGTGGGTAACGATAGTAATCCTTAAACTAATTGCATATTTTAATAAAAACACGCACAAACTAACACCTAAGTTGTGACGCTTCTGCAGCGTCGATATATATTACGAGATTTCAAACAACACGCGTAGACAACTATAATATTACCTAAGAGCCCAATACGTAGGGAGGACCGATGACCAACGATGTTATCTCGATATATCGACTATAGCTTCTATGATAATAATGATGTCACGATCAATATCACTGGCGATATTGAAAAAAACTGCAATTAAAATTATTAAATTCCAACATTATTTATAAAAATACATCACCACTACGGGTATTTTATATAATCGATATTTTTAAATCGATAAGTTTCAACAAATCGATAACATCGATGTTTCAGCAACATCGGCCTTCCCTATTCCAATTCCCTGTGAGCGCAGCCCCGCGCGGGGGCGCCATCGGTGATATAACCTAAGGGTGGCACTTCGCAGTCAGGGAACCCTTAAACAATACTCAGGGATGAACCACGACGTATCCAGCACCACTTCCTAACGAATACAGTGAGCAACCATTCGTACCTTCCTTCCGTTCGGATACTACGTTACTTCGTATAATTGTAAATTACATCCAAAATATACATTTAAATATACACTCCGATATAGGGACAGTGTCGTTGTTACATTTTATACTATATATTTACTTTAACCGTGGGAATGTTAAGTGATTTGATTCACACAATTTTTATGTAGAAAAATTAATCAGATCGCAAGCCCGACTGCGGACAAAATGTATCATTTGTAATGAAAATATAGACGCGAAAAGACATGTGACCACAGTAATAAAAAGAAAATAAAAAATAAAATTGATTAACAGAATAGAATAAAAAAGTTTGTAATCAATGAGTTAAAATGTAAATAAAATATGGACACATTTTATTTTAATACAAATGATTACATTCGGATGTTCCGAGCCTGCAATCTGATTGAATCGTTACACTACAAGACAAATCTAAAAATATTTTGTCTAATGTTGTGTCAGGTTCCCGTTGTTAAGTCGCTGGCCGGCGGCGCAAGTGTCGCGCTGTGACGTCACTTCCTGGCGCTGCGCGTCACCAGCGCCTGCAGCGCCGCCAACTGGCTCAGTAGACTCGCGTTCTTCTGCTCTAACGTCTCCACCCTCTTCCTGTAGTCAGAGTTCTCCGACACTAAGATTTCGACCTTCCTCTCCAACTGGTCCATGTATTCCTTTTTCTTGCGTCTACTTTCTTGTGCAGATATCTGTAAAGATTACAAATAACTTACTCATTTGTAAAAGAAACTTTTTTAATACAATTCCATTGGTATTCTAAGACTAGTGGTTTCTAAAAACGAAATATATAAAAAACTGTAATTGACCTTATTTTTGATTTTCCTTCTGATCTTTTTGAGGGACTTTTCCTCGGCTTTCGTGAGAGGGAGGCGCGTGGGCACCGGGTACCCCTCCGCCAGTAGTGTGCGCTTCTCCTCTTCCGTCAGCACTAGCGTTCCTGTTGAACC